GTCCAACCCATAATTAATGGATCCTAAACGTCATAATCAAAATAATTTATTTTTTAATCATTGGTTAAAGATTATCTTTGCAAAAATCAATCAAATTGACTATCGTTTAGTTATGTATATGTGTATAGAACAATGATCAACAATCTTGGTAAAACAATCAATATTTTTGTAATGACTGTTCAACTGTTTGATAAATATTATTAACTACATTGAGAAAAAAAATAAAAAAAAGATAAAGAATTGAGAAATACCGAAGAACTAGGGAGAGAAAACTGAAGAGGAAAGTAAGAAATAATGAACGTGCTTTCTGTATTGATTGAATGATTCTTAGTTACAACAGATAGCTCATAAGCTATTTATATAAAACAGAGAAGCTATTTATACAAAAGAGACCTTATTTAATACTAACAGACTACTTAACGACTTCTAACTATACTTACAACCCAATGCGCTAGATGATCTCATGTCACTGAATCAAACACATCACATAGTGACATACAATGTTTATGTAAGAATCAAATATAATTCATGGCCAAATTCCCTATAATTATGCTTGGGCTAAAGGACTTCTAATTTTTAAAGGTTTAATGTAATAACTAAAATTCATTCAATCAACACATAAAAGCACGTTCATTTTTCCTTATTTTCTCTTCAGTTCTCTCTCTAGTTCTTTAATGTTTCTCAATTCTTAATCCTCTTCTGATTTTTCTCAATATAGTTAATATGCCATTAGGGCAGGTTGTCCCACATTTGAAGTCCAAAAGCCACACATGTTCCATGTCATCGGATTTGTGTTGTCCACGTGTTAGGCTTGAAAATTCACTATACATGAGGAGACGTATTGAGAGTGAATCCCACATCGGGGAAATGAGAGTCCTTACATGTGCTTATAAGAATTGTTTACTCTCCATATTGCTAATTGGTTTGATTGTGGAACCTCAACTTTCTTTATCGTATCAAAGCAAGTTGTCCCACGTGTAAAGCCCAATGAACACACATGCTCCACGTTACCAAATTTATGATGTTCACGTGCTAGAATTGAAAATGTCTCACACTTGAGGGGAGTATTGACTGTTAATCCCACATCGGGGAAAAAAGAAACCTTGTGTGTGTTTATAAGTAATTAGATATTGTCAATTAATTTTGTGGTGGAACCTCAACTTTCTTTCCATAGAATGACAAACTAGCACGGATTTAATAAATTTTTTGAAAGCTTTGTATAAAATACATTAGTCACAATTACTAAGTGGACAAGAAGACGCACCTATATAAGAGCAACTCCACCCTTGGAGCCCTCCCCCCAGGCAATCCACTATTCAATCCACCATGTGAACAGTAACTACCTTTTGCATCTCTACTCTTGCACTTGAATAGCCCTGGCAATAGACAATAAAATATTATTAATTTTTTTTTTACAAAATAATACTAAATAAATTTATTTGTAATTTCGGATAAGATATTTTAAATCGTTCTCGTTGCGTCACGTGTCATTTACCCAAAACGACTATTATAAATAAAATATTATTTATAGAAAAGTAGAAACTTTTTTTTTTCTAAGATTTTTTTCGGATTTTTTATAATTTTTAAATTTTTTGATTCAAATAATTAATCTCTGCCGTTGGATTAAAAAAAAATTGAATTCCAACACTCTAGATTGTGCCACGTGTCACAACGGTAACTTTTCTTAATTTTAAAACTATTTTTTCTTTTTCTTTTTAAATTTATAAAGCAGATTAACATCAACCGTTGATCTCAAATCGAACGGTTGATATTAAATCAGCTTTTTTTTTTTAGTACCGTTGGAAATCGGACGGCTCGTATTAAAGAGTCGTTGGGATCGAATGGACTTTGGGAAGCCACGTGGCTTCCCAATGGTCACTGTGCGTGGGTCATTCAATCTGAAAACGTGTCGGCTGACGCGCCCCCACACGCACGTGAGGGGCACGCGCCTAACACAAAAAATATAAAGAAATGGACCGACGCCAGGCATGGCATCAGCCTGACGTCACACCCCTCGGGCTAAAAGGCTGTCAATCCCTCACGGGCCTGGCCCTCGGGCTCCCACCCTCACTCGGGCTGCCCAATGATGTAGCCAAACCCACCGGCCCTCGGGCCCTTTCCTCTCGCATGTCCCCCGAGCAAGGTCCAACGGTGGACTTGCTCTTAGAGGCACACGTATTTTCTTTGTTCAAAGCGGATGCCAAGCTAACTAAGATAATGTTAAAGCAAAAATTGGTATAAAATGTTATACCTCAATTTTGTTAAGATATGAATCTCACAAGTGGAAAGAATGGATCATTACTAGAAAATACTACTTGCCCTACAAAATTCAGGCTGACGAGCCATTTTTTGTCAGATAAATCAACTTGATCCGACGAAGTTTCCAGATAGTCGTGCAAAGCTGGTCAATATTTAAGGTTTTGCAAAAGGCTTTGCTCGAATAAATGATTTGGGAGGCAAGAATGTATTTGTAGGGCAAACATTGGCGACAAAGAAAAAAAATGGTGCATACTATGTAAACTTTTGCATGACGACCCATACGAGCAACTCCACTACTAAACAATCCCCTAGGCTATAGGCAAACCAATCCCCCCAAGTGAACAGTAACTGCATTTAGTGAACAATAATTGCCCAAGTGGATCTTAACTCCTAAACTGAATAGCCCAGGCTATATATTGGTATTAATATTATTAAATTTTTTTCAAAAATAATAAAAGATAATTTTATTTTTAATTCCGGATAGGAAACAATCTCGTCACACCATGTATCATTATCTGAAAGTACAATTTTTGTGGATAGATTTTCGAGTATATTTTTAACAAATCTTGTAGCACCAAGTGTCATGATTATGTAAGAATTTTGTTGATAGATTTTTGATAAGATTTTTAACATACCAAACTGAAAGTATTTGATAATATTGAAATGTGATGTAAGGTGGAAAAGCATGGTTAAGTATTATAATTTTTTTTTGTATTTTTTAATATTGTTTATTAACTTAATTAATATGGGTTGTTGGATTACAAAAAAAAAAAATTGTAATCCAACAGCCTAGATTTTGACACGTATGCCAACGGTAAAAATTGAATTTTTTTTTTCTTTTTTAGGCCTAAAAATCTGGACCGTTAATCTGAAAATTTCAATGGTCCAGATTACGCCACGTCACCTAGTTGTTGGGAAAGTGCACCTGCCCAACGAGCGCCAATCCTATTTTCCTATCGGGCTACTAGCCCTTCTCCCGCCTGTGATTCACGCACCTACTTAAAAAAAATGGTGGATGACTCCAGCCTGCTTAAAAAAATGGTGGCTAACGCCAGGCTAACATCAGCCTGACGTTAGTCCCCCCACCCCCCCAGTCAGTGGGTTAGGGGATTTGGGCTTGGGCTATGTGTCGGGCTCTCCTGGAGCCCAGTTGATTAGGTAGGGCTGGAGCATTTTTTTGGGTTGCCCAATACCCTAGGGGATACTCTTGGGTGGACTTGCTATAAAGGTTCTGTTGCGCAAAGCCTTAATTAGGATTTAGGGTTTTTTTCATCGGGTAAGTGGATATATTCGTCGGGCAAAGTGAGAGACATGGTTGGCATATTAAATTCCTCCAATAATTTATGCATTCTACGAAATTAGTTTTGACGATCCAACCGTCAAATATTTTATATATACTTCCAGATCTACGCCAAAAATCACCAAAAACAAACATTACAAGATTAGGTAACGGGAAGAAATCTTTCAACGGTTACAATAAAAAATCACGATTTAACGGTCATCTTTAGCTCCGATTTTGATAATTTTTACAAATACACTCCTCGACCCTAGAAGCATACAATGAACGAAACCAATCATCAATTTAAAATATTTATACTAGTGCATATCACAAAAGCTTACGTTCTACTTAATGAAAGTATAAAATAAGGATACTGCTATTCACACAGATGATAGCTAAAAGCATATAAGAGACCGGGTTGTTAGCACAATGTTATTTTGAAGAAACCATTGCATAACCAATTCACTCAATCTAGAAGTATTTCTCTTGAATTTTAAAATAAAATAAAACTCAAGCTTGAATCTCCCATGCTCGTATATGGACAATGAGCCCCCCCCCACTACTCGTCAAACTTTTATGGGCGAACAAAAATGTTGAAGCAAAAATGGTTGAATTCAGCATCAGTTGATCAAGGGTTTTGTCTGAGCTCGGGTTTGAACGGGGACCTCTAGTGTGTGAGAGTAGCGAGATAACTCACCACCCAGACTTCACTTGTCAACTTTTTGGGCGTAAGAATAATATCCTTTTGAGTTTGAACATGGTTTGGAGTCTTTAGACATACAAAAAGCTTGTTAAACATGCATCTCATTAGTCATTGCCACATTATCACTATCATCAGTAGTGTAATAAAGACTCTAATCATCATCTATCAGTGGTTTTTATTTACTGTTCTTAGTATATATAGTTCATCTTCAAGATCTTGCAATATATAATCTCTCTCAATTTATGGCATGTTTGCATGTTTACTACTTACCTAGAGTCATAGAAGCCATGAATCGGTATGAGAATGAATGGGATGGGATAAACAACTCTTCTTTTGGCAGTTGACCGTAAGAGTTACTATTTGTTATTATTGAATCTGGTTCGCAAGAGGTGATCTCTCTCCTCAGGGGTCGGAGTAATGTTTTGGCAACATTAGTAATCTTCTTGGTGACATAAAAATCGGTACGTAGATGGATATAGAGGAGGTCTCATTTCAATTTAAGCAAGGCAATACATTTGTCCATGCACTTGGTCTGTTTGAGTTTCAGGACAAGGAAGAAATATTTGGGAAGATGCTTCTTCGTTTTGGTTGATTCTGCTGCTGAAAAACGATCTTTGAGATGATTAGTTTATGGTTGTTTGCTATGGATTGATTGGGGCAACACTATTTTTATTTTTATTTTTCATTTCTTTTAACATATATTTACAGTTGAACTTGTTAGGACATTTGGTTATGTAAATAGTGTTCTGCATGGATTAATGCAACCTCTAAAAGCATGCAGACATCAAATTTTCCTTTAAAAAATAACAAGTAACAACTACAAATCAACAACTAATCCACATTCCCCTCAGAAACAATCTCTCAAACGTACACAACAATCACTCAATCAGTACATGATATTTCAAATTTCAACAAGTCTCCCATCATCTAAGCATCTGCACAGAACCCACCAACTGCGAAGGCCTTAAAAACCCAGAGTAATTCACATTACCCAACTGACTGCCACTCCCTTGGAATCCAAGGCCGACTGGTCTATCAGCCCCAGCTCTCTCCAGAGTCTGCACTTGCTTCTTCAAAAACTTCACATAATGTATGGCCTCGTCCAACATAGAAGCAGTGTCCATTTTAGTCCCACCAGGAACAAGTCTCTGCAGGATTCTGATCTTCTCGCTTATCCTCTCCCTCCGGTGCCTCGCCGCCACACTCTGTGGGTCTTTCGAAATCTTCACGTTCCTCCTCTTCGGCGGCTTCACCGCCTCCGGGTCTATCTGAATGGGCTGCATTGCTGCAATCCTGAAGATCATCTCCCTCATTGCAGCCATGGAGTTTCTCTTCTCGTATGAAGTACTGGATAGGACTGATAGTCCTGTAGGACTAATACCAGAAGGCTTACTTAGTCTTGGAGTTAAGGGTTCTTGGATTGGGTTTCCCATGAAGGAAACAGAGGAGGGTAATGCAGGATTTAGCAATGTTGGTTGTGGAGGAACTGCATTTGGATTATGGAAAATTGGTACTGGAGAAATGGATTCATGGTCATTTGGGTTTGGATTTGAAACCCAATTAAAATCTATCTCTGGAAATGTGGGATTGTTGTTGTTGTTAGGGTAAGAGTCACTGCAGAACTGATCAGGAGAGTGCTGCTGTTTTTGCATTTGCATCATCATCGTCATCATGTCCATGTGATGATGATGATCACCTGCTGATGATGATGATGATTTGAGCATGTCAACATCCATGGCTTCTCAGACGCGAGAGAGAGAGAGAGCAGGCTGGAAATAATGTAAGAAACAAAGGAGGCAGAGGTATGGGGTGGAGGTGATGAGTGAGGAGGGGGAACTTTGTTTAGGGTGGGATTGGTGCAGTGACAGGGATAAGGAGGATGGAGAAAAGTTGAAAGGAAGTGAATAAAATAGTGGAAGTGAGAATTGATTTAAATACTGAGAAAACCTCCAATTTACAGAATCCAGCAGGCTTCATTTGTAAGTGGGAAGGACTTTATATAGCAAGTTCTGAGTGACCATTATTTTATACATCTATCGAAACCTGTAGAAAAATCTAAAAAATCATTTATGAATGCATTAACGTATCTGATAGAGACTGCCCATCATCTTGGACAACGACGACTTACATGAAGTGAGTTTACTGTATCATTTTAATTTAATAATATAATGTAGTATATAAGTTTCTTTTCACATGACATTGCATTATTGAATTAATACGTCATGTGAAAGTAACTCGTTTCACACAGTTGCTCTCCATTGTGTAGGGATATCTCTACCATTGAATCATCTGAGTTCTGAATCAAAACAAATGGTCAAAGATCCAAAGCGTAGTTTTCTCATTAGATTAAAGGTAGACTTTTGGAACTTGAAATTATTGTCCACAAAGTTGATGGACTTGTTCAATGGGATGGTTGAAGAAGGTGCATGAACTTAGAACTGTTATATGATTTCTTTGACTCAAAGGTATTTGCTTTGCCTTAAAAATTTCACTTTATGGAACACAAAAAGATCAATTAGGTACCCACAGTCACATGAAATGTGTCAGATAATAACACATAGAATAATCCATCTTCTTAGAGTTCAAGTTTCAGTATAATATATTTCGCTTCTTAGTATAACGAGTTATTCATTTTAAACGTTCAATATAATTGATGGATTATAAGTACATAAGAAAAGTTTATGCACATGTAGTAAATTATGATTCATGTATAACAAAAAATTAGTCATTATATGTATAAGAGACACATTATTGTATACAATAATACAACTCATAATACAAAAAATTCTCAAAAAGATTAGCTATAACAATTTTAATATCACAAGAAGTTAAAGTTAAACTCATTCTTGTATACAATTGGTAGCACTTAATAATCTTTCTGCTCATAGAGTTTAGCTATAGCAGTTTTAATGTCGTAACAAATCAAGAGTGTGATTATCACCGGGAGAAGTTACCGGCAGTGGAATATTCCGGTGGGTGGAGTCGCTGTCAGTAGCTTGATCATGATTCCTGGAGATTGTATTATCCTGGTGTGCATAGTTTGTCTCTTCTCGGACTAGAATTCTCTCCCCTCCTCTTTCCATCTCCTTTCATCCACTTCTCTCACATTCTTTATTTTATCTTTCTCTTTTTATAAAAATTAATATAAGATATTGACATGATTTAATCATGATCTTTCAAATAGGAGGGAATGGAAGGGGAGAGATAAAAAAGAAGGGAGAGAATCATGCTCTCTCCTCTCACTGCTTTTCTTGGCACACTTTCCAAGTTGGATTAGAAGCTGACGGTGATGCCGATTGCTTAGCTACCCTAGAAAACAACTCATCATTTTTCTTCTTCTTTTTCTCATTTGTCACTGGCAAACTATTAAATGTCTTCCTTGCGAACTAATAGTAATAAACTTTACTCAGCAATCCCCTTTCAGTTTCCATAGACATGGTAACTAATTAAAATTAGTAAATTTGACGTCGACGTAAAAGGCATGCTAGGCAGAAGATCGAGATGCCTGACTCAAAAAATCAGCACAGTGAAGCCGGGGAAAAGTTAAAAGGTAATTTTGCATGCCACAGTTCGTAAACCATTCAATATTTCTACCATATTAGATAATCGAATTGAACTGATATTTCTATTATACTTCTATGTATTATATACATTAGTAGAAGATCTCATTGCTAAACAATCGAATACCCTTGGGAGTTAGAAAGGTGTTTTTTTTTTTTTTCTGGTAGATAATCTCAAATTATTCTACTGTAACAATATTCTTAAATAGCGTTATTATTGTAGCAAATATACTCATTAAGCTATGTTTTCAAACTGTTACTATCCATCACATCGATAACTACTATCATTTAATCTTGAATCATTACAATAATTGATTTGCTTCAAAAATAGTGTTAAAGAAAAAGATCGGACATTGAGAAATAGAAATTAATTGAACAATTTGGAGTGGTATAAATCAAATCCATTGTTATCAACTGCAAAGAATCTTGAGCAGAAATAATAAAAATTGCTGAGAAAGTGGTCCCAATTTTTCTGTAAAAGCTAAAGAAGCTATCACTCTCTCTGTCTCTGTGATATTCTCAGCCTATACATATAAAAAAAGTATAAAACTTGCACCTCAAACGCACAAGCCAAAAGCAATTGTAGAATTGCTTCCTTTCAGATTGTCTTGCCTTAACTTATCACATTAACATTATTGCTCAAGAAACCTTTTTCATACTTGTTGATGAAAACTGAAAGCAACAGAAGAGACTGAATTCCGTATATGTTGAAAATTAGTCAGTGAGAGAGAGAGAGAGAGAGAGAATCTTAGCGACGGTGCATACAAAAGCCCTCTCAAAAATTCAACTTTACAAACAAGTACAACTTTCCACATTTGCCTTTTTTATGCAGTTTTGGTGAATTGGCAGAGTAAACCCTGCATTGCGTAATTAAGGGTTGTGGTGATGGAAATATCGTCTAAAACTTGAGGTCATGATTTAAACCCTAACCTTGCAGGGATTAATTATTGATAGGTACAGCCACAGCCTAGAGTAACTAGTTCAGTGTCCTTCCACTTACCTTGACTTAATTAGCCTGTAATAGCTTGCAATTGCATGCAAGGATTTCCATACACTATTATCGTAGCATCCCGTGCAACAAAAATATTTGTAAGTTTTCATTTAAATGACGTTATATCATTAGCACGGAAAACCACAATGGTGGTATACATATGTCATATGAGTTGTTCTTCAGAATAAGGGAGGAGAGTCGACTACATATGTCATATATGTTGTTGTTCGGAAAGAGGGAGGAGAACCGACTAAACATCTTAATCATTGGTGGCGGAATTTTACTCGCAGCTGATCTCCAATTCTCGTTCACTAGACCGAACTGGGCATAGACGGTCGATGTCGTTCAGGTTTTGACCAAAAATATGGTCACGGTCTCTCTAAACCGAATTGAACCAGTTTGGACATATTTAATCTACAAATTTAAAGTTTTTAATATCTAAACTGAGCCTAGCCCGCCTAGTATACAAACATATTTGTATTATTCATGTTTATTTTTTCAAATTCGTAACAACACATGACGATATATCGGCACATCAACAGAAGTTTTGTCATCCTTGCACTTTCAATCAATGTATTAATAATCTAAGTTGGGACTAGTCTATGTTTGCATTTGCATAGAGGGGGTAGAGAGGCAAACCGTAATAATAAAAACAATAAGAGAATGGACCACATTTCTGCCGAGAAATCATGCTAATCTGTAGCCATAATGGAGTCTAAATGTACAGTACCTTTCTCATCTTTATAAAGTCATGGTGCTGATAAGCATGAGACCGTAAATTATTCTCGTGTGTATATAGACATATATATCAGACCAAACAAAAGAAATCAAATTCATAACGTAAAACAATTCATACGTGCAATAGGAGGCAAAGAAGTCTAAACTCATTGACCTGAGCTTAGCTAAGTTGATATAGCAATAACAATGTATTCCTCCCAATGCACCTAAGTTCGAATCTCATTAATCTATGTAATTTAGATTATCTTTTTGTTTGTCAGAAGTTGTATAATTGTAGCAGTCTTGGTTTCTCCGTTCGTTTGCTAGGTTATTTGCATCAATTCTGAGTTCTGTATATGCTTCTGTAAAAATCCAAGTGATACGAGAAAATATTCGTGATCTTCTAATTACCAAAAGCATTTTATGCATGAACAATCTCATATAAAAACTATCTTCCATTAAAAGCATGTTTCTATTGTCTGTGTTTTTTGCAATAGGGGTCCAAGGCCCAGTATAAATAAAACTAGTTGCAAATGAGTCGGGCCTAAATAGTTAGCCCAAAACTTATTCCAAGACCATTGGAAGCAAGCCCAGTCAACAAATTCACCTCCTACCCAAGGCTTTGGTTTGCCTTTTGAGGTTTTCTTTTTGTCAGCTTGGGAGATAAGGATCGAGTTTGAGATCTATTTATGACTTACATTTTTAGGAATTATTTGAGAGTGCTTTTAAAACAATTAAGCACCTTCAAAGGACTCATAATAAATGGGTCTAATGGCTTGGGTTGTCTATTGTCCATGCCCATTATGCCCATTTTTAAATGGTGTAGATATGTTCATACGTTGAAATCCATCAAATACAAGGACAAAAAGACATGACTCCCCCTCTCTCCGTCTCTCTCCTCCTTCCTCTCTCCCAACTTCTCACTCTTTCTGCTCGATTCCAAATTTCCAAGCCTCATCCTAGTTTCATAAGATCTGATCCAACCTTGACCTAGATGCAGAACAACAATGAAGATGGAAGAAAGAGGAAGATGGAGCGGAGCTTCAGTAATTTTTTTATATTGTTAATATTTTCCTGAAAAATATGTCGTTACAAAAAATGGAGGCTACTACCCTATTTATACAACTAGCAAAATCTATCATTCCCCCTTGAAAAACAAATTTGTCCTCAAGATTTTAAAAATGGAAATTAGGAAACTTGGAAGTGAAGTCATCATAATCCTCCCAAGTTGCATCACTTTCTTCTTGTACAATACATCGTACCAGCAATTGTACACTTGCAACATTCTTCTTCCAAACATTGCTAATAGAGTCTTCTGCACTAATCCATCATCTGTGACTTCTGGTAAAGCTATAGTACGCAACACATGTGGCACCAAGTGCTTCTTCAGACAGCTAACATGAAAGAATGGATGAATTTTTTTCCTGCAGGAAGCTTGACTCTGTAGGATACTTTTGAGTACATTTTGTGATAAACATGTAATGCTAGAGATTGTAGTTTGTGATAAGCATGTGATGTTAGAGATTGTAGTTGATAAGGAAAATAGGCTTTCTATAGTTTTCTCCGAACGGTTATGTGATGCGCCCATAGAACTTCGGCCAATTCTTCTGGCATCCTCCTTTTTTTTTATTCGTTTTTTTGGCACAAGGACTACGTTAACCAGTCTGGGTAATAGACTTCAACAA